GAGTGAGTGAGTGAGACAGTGAGTGAGTGAGACAGTGAGAGAGAGTGAGTCAGTGAGTGAGTGAGTGAGAGGGAGAGGGAGTCAGTGAGGCAGTGAGTGAGGCAGTGAGAGCGCGATTAAACATTTTTGGACTATAGCTCTAAAGCAGTGGCTCTCAACTTTCCTAATGCCGCGAGCCTTCAATACAGTTCCTCATGTGGTGGTGACCCCCCAACCATTAAATCATTCTCGTTACTATTTCCTAACTGTAATTTTGCTACTGTTACGAATCGCGTGATCCCTGTGAAAGGGTGGTTCGACCTCCAAAGGGGTCAGGACCCACACGTTGAGAACTACCGCTCTAAAGCGTCTAGCAGTAACACTATGGTTCAGTCACAGCCAGCGTTTCGAACCCCTTCTCCATCCCCACCAGCGTCACGTGACACCTGGCCTTCTCAAGGTGTCTCACAGAGACCTTCCCCCCCAGGCCCCTTCACCGTGCTGCTGGGGCCACAGCCATTGGGGAAAGCGTGGGCGCCTTTGAGACATGATCATTTATGTCTGTCCCCAAAGTTTATTAACACGGGGCTCCTTTGCACATGCTCTTTCTGACTTTCTTCGCCTGCTCTTGTGGCCGCACGTCCGTCCCTCTGTCTCTTCCTCTCTCGCTGCCCTCCCTTTCTTACTTTCAGCCATTCTCTCTTCACTCGGTCTTCCAGTCTCCCCTCACCCTGCCCCCTTGACTCAGTCCACTCTAAACACCCGGGCAGGTCCGTGAACGCTCATAAAACCTGTTCATCGAAACCCACGCTCTGGGTCTGTTTTCCTTTGAAAGCTCGTAATTCAAGATAAAGTGTAGGTATCTGCTTTTGCAGCCCCCACCCGCCCAATCATTGTGGGAAAAGGAGGCGGCTTTCTGTTCCTCAAGAGATAAACAGCTCAAGTTCAAAACCCCTTCCAACTCAAGGTGACCCCGTAGGCCAGAGTAGTCCTGCCCCTGTGGGTTTCCGAGGCTACACATTTTGACAGGCGCAGAAAGCCTCGTTTTGCTCCAGGGGAGTGGCTGATGGATTTGAAAACTCCACCATCTCAGACACGCACAGAGGCCGTTTCAGCCTGTCCGTCGCGTTGGTACGAATCAGAATACACTCAAAAGCAGTGAGCTTCCGGTTTGGTGGGGTTTGGTTGGATATCTTTTCAGAGCTCGCCTTCCCCACCCCAAGGGGCAGTCACTGCCCGCTTTGGGATACATCGAAGGATTCTTTTAGACAGTGGGGGGACTTCGTCAACAACACACCCAACTTGCCAGGCTCCCTTGCGTGACCGGATGCTCAGTGACAGTGACGACGACGAGACTCACCTGAGGGTCTGCAGTTTGCAGTTGGGGTGTTGTAGACCCTCACACAGCAGCAGCACTCCAGGGTCCCCCAGGTCATTCAGGCTCAGGTCCAGCTCCCTCAGGCTCAGCCTCTGCTGAAGAGCGGAGGCCAGGTCTCCGCAGGACGCCACTGTGAGGCGGCAGATCTTCAGC